AGTTTCTGACTAAAACCCACCCAACTCATTCTCTTTGGAGGTAGACTAAGGAGCTTCAGAATCCATGTTAGAAACTCAGCCCAAAGTCTACCGTTGGAATGTTCTTCCCAGTACCTTCCTAGAAAGCATTCTATGAGTTTCATTTACAGGGTCCTTAAGATCTATTGGCCAAGGTGCTGCCTGAGGAACAGCCTCAAATCCACAATGGCTTGGCCACTCCAGCTCTCCAGTCTAGATGGCTGAATCTTGGCTGAGCATCCTAGCACGAGGCCCTTCTTCTCTCCCCATCCTTTGACCAATTCTTACCCCCACGACTCATCTTCTGACTATCAGGTTACTGTTTGTCTTTAGCTCTGGGCCTCCTTTTCACTACTCAGTTCTTGCATTTGTAATTCATCCATCTTCATGCTGGGTTCTCTGCCTCCACACCAATTTATGTTGAGTATTCACTGTTCTTGGAACTTGCCTCAGAGTCTATATCCAACTTTGTCTACCTTAAACTTACCCACCCAGTCATCTTCTGGTGTCCTATGGAGGGCCAGCTTCAAGGGTGGGTGACTTGTGCAGTCACCTAGGCCCTATGCTCTGAAGGGTCCCATGCTTTGTTTAATGCTCTGCGTTGACTTCTTGAAATTCTTAATTTTATCTTTGAACTCGTGTTTTTTAAGTGAATTCCAATGGGACAATGGAGCATGAGAGGGAGCAGAGGAGATATGCATAATACACGTTTCCCATTCCTTGTCAATCCCATTTGCGTATAGCATTCATGGTGCTGCATGAGCACAGAATCCAGTGGATCCCCAATGTGTGAGAGTTCAGAGACTCTCAATCAGTGTGAGTACAGGTAAGGGTATTACGTCTATAACTGAGTAAGCTGACAACTCTGAGAGGCTATGCTTACCATTCAAACCAGAACTTGCTTCAAATGCAGAGAGAAAAGTAATGGTGTTCTAATAAACATAAAGAACCCTGTCATATCCTTTCTTACTTACGTTACTTCCTATATTAGCCACCCACTCACACTGAAAATGATGACAGAAGGAAAGGGGTAACCCCTTGTTCATTTTCTCTTCAGTCCTCCCTTACACATCAGTAAGCTTAAAGTAGAGAGTATTGGTAGAAAGTGTACATATAAAGAAACGAAATAAAAATAGTTGTATTAGTTTTATCAGCATTTCAACTGTTCTAGTAGAACAAAATACAGACGCATGTATGAGCTACAAAATGTGAATTGTGTAATTTCTACGATTTCACAAACAAGTTAATTGCTCTTATATTTCCTTTTAAGACTGGCATTGCACAACAGAAATATGAACAGTAAAATTCATGCCAATAATTTAAAACTTTAATTTTTTTTTAGTTGGAACATTAAATAATAAATAAAAAGCACCACACCAAATTAAGAAGACCATCAATGAAAGGAAAAAACTATATTTTAGTGCCTTTGATGATATTTTTTTCTGCTTTTTGAACAAGGGGTCCCATGTTTTCATTTTGCACTGTGCCCCACAAATTATGTAGTCAGCCCTGGTCCCACCATTTTAAGCCATGTCCATAAGCACTGATAAGGCTGGTTCCAGAAGGCCACATTGCAAGCTGTTTCCTAGTGTGACTTCACTGACCTTGCATTCCTTGCCATGCCTCTGTCCTGGAACTTCAGTTGGGATCAATGGATATTATTAGCCCCTTTGGGAAAATGAACAACAACAACAAAATCTCCCAAACATAGTTCTGAACGGATGGAAAAATGGAGGTAAATGAAGTGGTAGGGGCTTATTCAAGGTCAGAGTGTCTGTCCCAGCGATAGAGGCACAAGCTAACTCTCATACTCCTAGCCTGAGGTCCAGTGCCATGACCTGTCAACACCCTCAACACTATATTACTGGCACTTGAGCTTCAAACATTATTTGAAAATACCAACAAAGTCATTATGTGTTACAACCTTCGATCATGTCTTAGCTAGGGGCCACCACAGTCTCATAGGAACAGATGTAGAGTAAAAGCCTCTGCCCTTCAAGGGGTTTTGCAAAGAATACTCTGAGGCCCAAGGGAGTTCTATGTCTTGTTCAAGGTTGGAGTGATCAACAGGCCAACGTGTGCTTCCTCTGTGGCCTCTGTAAATATCAAATTCCTAGTTTCCCCAGGCAAGTCACAGTGTCTTTTCTAATCATCGTATGAGTCATTTGAAATTCTAAAGGAACAGGATGCTCCCATCTCTTTCCTTGAATTTCTTAGAGAATAAGGTATCAAAATCAAGTTCAAGGGCCAGATCCCTCCCAATCAGAAGGAACTCTAAGCCTGAATATAGACAAACATGGGCACTTTGCAAATTGCCGGTGCACCTTTGCTATGGTCCCAAGTCGCCTAAACGGATTTTTGGACTAACATCTCTTACAACATTCTAGCTGCCCTGGTGCTATTCTCTTAGAGCATTCCGTGCAGAGTATAAGGGCCCAATGAACCTAGGTTTCCTCCAGAAGCCTCACAACAGCCTCTTGTTTGGAGCAGAGACACCTTAGCAACACAGCCTAATCCTCCAGGTACTTCTGGGCTAGTCCAACTTTCCTTCTTAATTTCAAGCCTCTCCCTCTACACAGAGCTCTGTGTACAAGGAGGTCAGATCTTTCAGAGAATATCTTCAGATTGCCCATGCCTGGAGCTCACTGGGCTGCTCAGCTGGCTGCTGATTCCATGGAAGGATCAGCAGCCTTTCTGCCAGAATAAACGTGCAGTTGTGGGTCTCCCTCCTTTTAGCAGGCACATGGGGGAATATCTCATGGGTCACGCAACACTGTTCTAGTTCTAACAACAATAACAGTGATCATCTTTCCTTCCCTTTCTATCACATGATAATTATAAACATACATTTAAAATTTCTGTTTCCATTTAAAATAGTCTCCATGAAAATATTTTAATGAAATGCAAAAATATTTTTGACATAATTGTAAGTGGGAATACAAGTATATCTATAGGAGGCCCTCAGCTTTGTAAATAATTTACTTTTATGCACAGAAAAAATATAGGAAGGGACTATACCACAACGGATGTCTTTAGGTGGTAAGATTAGAAGTACTTTTTTATTTTCCTCTTTAAACTTTTTGATATTTTCTAAAAGAAAAATAAATATTATAAGCATGTATAATGTTTGTAATACAACAAGAAAGGATACTTTTTATTAGCTGGGACTTCTGAAATGGTAGTATCCAATTTTATGTATTACCCCAAAGGAGACCAACGGCAGGCTTCTTTCTACTTCTCCCTCAACTGATTTGTATGTGGAACTCTCCTCCCAGCTGAATTTCTATACAGGATACAGATTTTGGCTTTGACAAGACTGCTCAGCTTGTAATCACTCTTCTTTTCTTTCTTAGGTAAAACTAGATGACATTTGGAAATAGCCTTAATTAGAGCCCTGGATCAAGGGACACTATTTCTTTCTGCCAGTTACCAGGGCTAAGAGTTTCCCAAAGGAATTTACAAAGTGTAGGGCTTTGGAGCCCACCTGAGACTGGGCTCTGGGTAGACAGAGGCCCAGAGGATGCTGACTTTGTGCATCAAGGTGTGATAACAAGAATGTTGGTTTTGGACTTGATTGGCTCTGGAGCCTCATTTTTCTTTTTCTCTGCAAAGCTGATGATCATATTTCTTTTATTGAGTTGTTATAAAGATTAAAATGGCAATGTATGTAGGGTGCCTATCTCAGTGAACATAATAAATGATTACTATTAATAAGTGGTGGGCACTGGAGTCGAAGGCAGCAGAAGGGGAAAGTCTGCTAATGTTACACCCCATTCCCTTTCCAAAGTGTGTGGGGGTGGCGGT